GGAGCAGGGGGTCACCCCGAGTAGGCGAGTCGCTGCCCACCGACATCAGGCTAGAGACGGCTCCCCACCGGCTCCGATCGCCGCCGACCCTTCTTGCCTGGACGTCCCTGCTGGGACACTCCCTTCCGGCGATGGAAGGGGTCAGTGGTATGGACGCTGACTCCTCTCCTAGCACCACGACATCCAAGGACCCCTCGGCCATGTCCCCTTCGTTCGACCCACGCCAGACGCCGTCACCTGGGCCATCAATGGCGCGGGTCACGTCGGTTCCTCAGGCGCCACCACAATAGCGCCCGGCTATGATCCGCCTATCACAACCACCGCCACCTCTGCCTGCATCATTGCGGTCCTGACCGGCTGCATCGCACCTGCCATGGTCGACGTCGTGAGCGCGGTCGACAACCTCGTCCGCCCCATCGTTGGTAGGGGTATTGCCACCATCGCCGGCTGTTCCGCGACCTCCGAAGGCCTCCCTTGAGCCCCCACGTCCGCTTGTCTTGCCAAGGGCACAGGTGACCGGCCAGCGACGTAGTCACACTAGCGCCGCTCCCACCCAAAATGGGCGCGATGCTAGCTAATGGCTGCCGCCTCTCTTGAAGGGCAACACTCTTCTTTGGCACCAGCGCCAAAGGATTATGCTGCCTCCTCACACTGCAAGAGACGTAAAGCATAAGTCATGATGAAATCCGACCAAACAGGGAAAAATAGAGGAGCTGATGACTCACCACAGTGCCGTCGGGCAATTGATATGTTTGGGGGGCGAACCCCCTGACCTCTGCTCCGTCTCATCAGAGTGAGGCCGTTTCGAGCCCACCCCCTGCTCTCGGGCAAAGGGGCTCGCTCCCCTCGAATCTTGGGGCTCAACGGCGGAGCCACCCGCCTCCACTGGCACCTCGGGCGCGGTGTCAGAGCCGTCCACCCCTATTGGCTCCTAGGGTAGGCCAACAGTATGGCCTATCTCCGCCTGCTCCTTGGACATGCCCTCCCCTCTGTGGAACGGGAAGGGTCCTGACTCCTGCAAGGATGAACCGATACCTGTCAGCACATCCTCGTTCTCTAGGTTGTCCCACTCGATGTCGTCGACTACCTCATCATCGTCTCCATCATCATCATCATCATCATCATCGCTGTCGGTGTCCTCCCCTCGCTCCAACGCCTACAGCTTCCGTTGCTTCTTCTTCCTCTTGTCCTCCTTCGCCATCCTCAGCTGCTCGCCCTCGGTGCGATTCACCGCCCTCATGGAGAAATCCCTCGGCAATGGGGCTGGGTGATCTGTGAAGATGAGGTCCCTCGGCTGGTCCCGTCCCTCTCAAAGTTAGTATCAAGAGGTCGGGAAATCGATTGAAGAGGAGGTATGAGGAGGGGAAACTTACGAAGATGACATGGCCTAGTTCTAGCCACATCGGAGGATGTCCTGGCACCGGGTAGACGAAATTGAGGGGGGCCGCCCACATCGTCCCACGAAGGCTCCATCACCTCCTTAATGCGTTGCATGACCTCGGAGTGGGGCATCGCTCCCTCGGCAAGCGCCATTCCGTCGAATGACGCCTTAGCACCATCGCGTATAGCGGGAGCGAGTGCAACATCAACGGCGCCACCCTCCTTGCATGGTAGGCCCCGATGATGCCCGACCCCTTTAGGCCGCTCTCCTTCAGGATGTGGATGGCGGTGATGTGGTCTTGGATCTTCTTCTTGTCCTTCTCCGGAACGCCCCACTTCCTCCACAACTCTGGGGCCTCTTCAATCAGGCGTTCGGTGAACTCCAGCAGAGGGGTGGCGGCGGCGTTCTTGAGGTAGAACCACTATGAATGCCACCCCTTGTTGGACATTGACAGCAGCATCGGCAGGTACTCGCTGACCCGGTTGTTCTAGAGTTGGATGCCGGCGCACCCCATCGGCATGTGCAGTTCCTGCCTACCGCTCTTCTCCCTCTTCCTCTAGAGGGTGATGGCGAAGAACTACCTCTACAGATTGAAGTGGGGGCTGATCCCTAGGAATCCCTCGCACAGGGCGATGAACGCCGCCATGTGCTGGATCCCGTTGGGGTTGAGATGCTGCAGCTCGATCTTGTAGTAGTGCAGCAGCCCCCGAAGAAATCTGTGGGCAGGGGTCATGAACCACGCTCATGGAAGTGGGCGAACGACACTATGTAGCTGTCGAGCGGTGATGGCAGATCCTGCTCGCTGGGCAGCAGCCACTCCTCGGCCGAGGTCCATGAGTGGAGAAGACCAGGACGGACGTGGCCCTCCATGCGCTAGAAGGTGATGTCAGAATGGCACCACGGATCCATTGGAGGTGGGGACGGTTGGATGTGGGCTCGACAACAGCGGGGATGCGGAGACGGGGAACCCTAGGTGATTGGTGGCAGCGGTCGAGGCTACAAAGGTAAGGATGTAAGGTATGGAACCCCAGGGGTGAACCCTTCGATTTTATAGGGGCGATGGGTGCGAGGAAACCAACCGCCCATCTAGATCTCCGCGCCGGCCACGATCTGCCACAATGTCTTGCCACGGGACATGCGCACGCAATCTCTATCCGTTCCCTCGGAAAACTTACCGGATGTTTTGCTTCTCCGAACGGGCCACGACTCATTGCGGGTAGGAGGAATACGGATCTAAAAGCGTCTCTACGACACGAGTGGGCCGAGGAGTCCACAGGTCGGCCCATCGATGGGTTCGACAACCACTCCAGGCACCTTTAGAGTGAGAGGTGGAAAGGGATGGGCCCGATAGTGGCTAGAACCCGAGCATGCGAGCGCCGCGGGCATCCTGGCTCACGTTCGAGACTCAGCCAGTTACGATCCGTGGTTTTTCCTCGAAGATAGGCACATAGCCCTCGGGACCGATCGAACAGACCCGAGAACTATACGGATCAACCGCTAAGAATCTAGAGTCGATCACCAAACTGACCCAAGCCAAATCCCCGTGAATGGGATGCCCGGGACCCCACTCAGACTAGCCCATTAAACAGCTCACCGAATGCCATAATTCGTCCTTAGAGGAAAATCGTGGCATGGCTCGGCCCCTCCGTTTTTATTGGAAAAAAATGCTTGAGGGAAGACAATCGCAAAGACGAATCGATCCTTGACCAAGCCCCTTCTACGAGAGGGGGCTCGAGGAAAGGGAATCACCATCCCCAGGTCACACTGTGGGTGGCAAAAGAAGGCCAAGGCCTTTAGAGTCCTCCCGTTCGGAAAAGCCTCTGGAGTATTCTACTCCTCCGTAGGTCGGGGGCTACTGTCGGGGACCAATACTAGGGTACCCGAAGAGGAGCTAATAACCATCAACATTGATTCGTTTGAGTAGTCAAGAGTGCGACTACAGCTCCAACCGACCCCCAAGTGTGCAAACTCTGCCTTGCCCGACCCCTGAGGGTTGGCTCCGCCTCGCCCGACACCAAGGCTGCGGGCTTGGCCTCGCCCGACCCCTGAGGGTTGGCTCCGCCTCGCCCGACACCAAGGCCGCGGGCTACGCCTCGCCCGACCGCTGAGGGTTGGCTCCGCCTCGCCCGACACCGAGGCTGCGGGTGGCTCCGCCTCGCCCAACCCCTGAGGGTGGCTCCGCCTCGCCCGACCCTTGAGGGTTGGCTCTACCTCGCCCAACACCGAGGCCATGGGCTCCGCCTCGCCCGACACTGAGGCTGCAGGCTCTGCCTCGCCCGACCTCTGAGGGTGGTTCCACCTCGCCTGACCCCTGAGGGTGGGCTCTGCCTCGCCCGACACCGAGGCCGTGGGGTCCGCCTCGCCCGACCCCTAAGGGTGGACTCCGTCTCGCCCGACCTCTGGGGGCGGGCTCCGTCTCGCTCGAAACCAAGGCGTGGGCTCCGCCTCGCCTGACCTCTAAGGGCTAGCTCTGCCTCGCCTGACCCTTGGGTTTGGGCTCCGCCTCGCCCGAGCCTTGGGTTTGCGCTCCGCCTCGCTCGGCCTCTGGGGAGGAACTCCGCCTCGCTCGACCCCAAGGCCGGGGACTCCGTCTCGCCCGACGGAGACCCATACCGCCGCCAACCACTCCAGGTCCAAGCGTATGGGCCTGGGCCAAAGCTCTGACACCAGGGAAGAGATTGGCATGCCTCGATGTAGCCCGTGACCCACGACGGGCCATACCTAGGGGTTCACATCAGGAACAGCGTCGGGCGTACCGATGCTATTCTGTCTAACCCCTGTATGAACACTGACGGCGCGTCAGTTCACCACGACGTCTACCAGGACGGAGTGGAGCGCCATGACCGGCAGACGACGCCTGAACATGGCGCCAGTGACGGACAGGACCGCGATGAGAAGCTGTCCCTGTTGACGTCTATAAGGTCGACAGGACCCGCATAGAGGAGAAGGACCCAGCGATCCTAAAGGACTTCTTTCTCTCGTTCTCTTCTCTTCCTCCACGGTCACCCGTGCTTTCCCTTGGCCTATAAAAGAGAAAGCAGGGCGTCCCACAAGGGGCATCGGACAAACAATCGCAACACATCGCATCGAACCATCGAACTCGAATCCGATCGATCCATCAAACCCTGAACACGGAGCCAAGCAGCGATCGAGCTCTCGGCACCCATTCGTTCCTTCCACCAGAGATTTGGGACCTGTCCCTCTCTCGACCATTTGTAACTTTTACTATGAACTTTCAGTGCTAGTAACATGAACAGCAGCAACGAACTAGACGTAGGGACATTCTACCCGAACCAGTATATACCTCAGATCAACAGCAATGCTGATTGGTTGGGTACCAGCTGATGAATTTATCAGAGTGAAGGTTCATGAAAGTGATTCCTGGCCATAATATCACATGAGTTTTTTTTTAGATTGGTTCCCTGAATCATCTGATCGTAACAGTCGTAGTGTTGGACTTCATAAATTGGTGTACTTTGATTGGTTGTTCACTGCGTGCACAGACATGCAGAATATTATTCAATTTTATACAAATGCAACCATCCCAGTAAGCATACAAAATTTTAAATAGTCAATTGTTGTGTACCGGCCGGGTTTGGGATTTGAAGGTCTGACCCAATTAGTAAGGCACGGTTGCAGTGACTGTTCTGTGCCTGGGGTCTGTCAGGATGGAGCAAACGTTAACAAAGCCGACCGTTCTCATTGTCTCCTCCAAATCCAGCATGTAGTACTCGTCAAGGAAAGGCTCGGTACTCTTCATCAGGGTGAACAAAACTGGGGATAGTTCCTGGAATACATGGAAATAAATGTTATCGTCCAGTGTGAATCATTCCTTCTGTGATGATTGAGGTGTTGAAATATGGTGCTGACTGTTGAAGCTTACCTGAAGTACTTTGGATTTTGGCTGCAAAGGATTTTAGAATGAAAAATGGAGTTATGTTAGTCGATTTTTTAACAAGTTTGCATACTTGTACTCTTAGGAAAAGCGAGACAAAAGAAATTCCTACAGAATTGTCTGTTAAGGCGATTGTTCCTCCTGGGCGAAGGACCCTGAATGCTTCCTTCACCAATCCGGTTATTGCTAGTGCTGGGCACTCATGGCACTGCAGGTTTTTTAGAAGGGGCGTTATTGCATTGGTGGTGACTTATATTCTGTGCTTTTGATTGCAGAGATTTTTAGCGATAAATTTATGGTAACCACTATTACAGATTTTAAATCCATGTAAAGAAGATTTTAAATCTGATAGAAATTTACCACATAAGCAAGGGAAACAAGGTCAAATGAATCAGAGGGCAGCCCAGTGGCTTCACCATTCGCATGAACCCAACGAATAGGGTTTGGCCGTAACAATTTGTCTTCCTTTTGTGCCGCCACAGCAAGAAAGTATGGTGATAGGTCGAGCCCCTGCATTATTCACAAACATTTCTGAATTGAGTGCAGGGTTGTGCACAACTACTGTGCCATGAATACGCAGAAAAGACTACAATGTATACAAGCTACTTACTATCTACTACTCGATTATTCTTTTGGTGAACATGGGTTGCTCGTTAATGGTCCATGCAATGGGATTCAGATAAAATTATACCAATAATGGCAACATACTGTTGATAATTAATTTGTAATATAAAGATATTGGAGCTTATTATGGCTCCATACGAGACAATACACAAAAGGAGCTTAAGCAGAGATTTGAGGGCTTACAACAGCTTGAGCTGAAGGGAACTTCTCGGCGAGGTATCTAGTGCTTACTCCAACAGAGCAGCCAATGTCCAAGATGTCATTTACCTGACAGTTCCCCGAGTATTTGAGATGATGCTCCTCAATTACATTCAGCCAGTTCCCGCGGACGATTTGGTTCGCCTCTTCGATCGATGTAGCATCAGGTATGGCCCTCTTTGCTATTGACATTGTTGCCGCCTCAGCCTCTGCTGCAGCCTAGCTTATTCAACATCAAATTAACAGTATGAGCGTACACAAAATATGATATCCTTCAGCTGTTATTTCCACGTCGGTTAAATAGCCAAGACGTTTTGGGTATCATATTTTCAGGATTTAATAGAACGGTGTCACATTTTTTAGGATTTTATAGAACGGCAGCCTAGGATTATTACGAAAAGTTGAGCTGCAGATTATCAGAGTATATAAAAAACAATGAGAACAAAAAAGTGAATTACCAGCCATGATAGATTCCCTTCGTCGTAGGCATGAAACGGGTTGAGATAATCTGATCAAGAGAAACAAGGAGTTAATTATATATCACTCCAGTTTATTGTACTTCATATAGACTATCTTTGGGTCGAATATAATGGTGAAATTACTTAATCAACGAAACAGAAAGAAAGGAAAGGAAAGGGGAAGTAAGCTCACAGTCAGGGTACGCGAGGTTTGGGTCTTGGATTCTCTCGAACACCTCGTACACGTCCGACTCCAGCACCTCCTTCGTCATCTCCCTCCACGGGATGTTCGACTTCTCCGCCGTCCTACACAGAGGCATTCTTACCGACATCTCCGACATCCCCAAGAGAACAAGTGAAGAACAGTAATGTCTAGAAAGAACGGCGCGCAGGTTTCTATTTTGTACTACCTGATGATGACCTCGCGGGAGGCGAGCTTCAATAGCGAGTAGAGCGGCTTGAACGCGACGAGAGCGCCGACAAGCCGCGACAGAGGGGTCTCCCCGGACCACGCCGGCCGCTCCAGCGCCCCCTCCTGTGGCACACCAGTCCCCGTTCTAGTGACCGCCGCGACGACGATGCCATTGCGCTGGCGGCGGCCCGTAGGGCCCGAGAGGCCTTTCTCGGCAGTGGCGGTGACGCCGGCGCGCGCGAGGATCGCCGCCATGTTTAGTTTGGCCGTCGCTTTCCCTGGGCTGGGCTCCAGTTTTTGGCTCGTGGTGGTTCTTGAGCTCTCGCTGGAGCAATGGGTGCATCGCAATACGATTAGTTCCGTTATCTGGAAGGATGTGCGGCGACCAGTAGGGCATCAACACGTGGATGCCCCTGCCGAAGTTTTTTTTTTTTGTTTTTTTTTTGTTTCATCTGTGTTCGGTTTGCCGAGACAACACAATAAAGAATACCCATCCCCTCTTCGTATACTTCATTCAAATAAACTTAGAAAAATAGTATGGCCTAATTTGGCTTCAAAAGAGTTCTAATGTACGATATTATTTATATTTTACTAGTAGAAATGCAAGTGCGACATACACGTATCTATAGAAAGTTAGAAAGTTATTGGCCATGCGTCAATTTATATGTTGTCAACATACATGTATATTTTCGCTCATTAGTCCTACAAATTTGAACCAAATTTATAGCAATAACATATATTCAGTATATATGTGTATATACTTATATGGCAATTACAGACATAGATGGCCATAAATTTTGTTTCCACGATCACACTTCAAAGATATTACATTCTTACTATCATATATGATTAAAAAAATATGATACCGTCCGAATCCCATCGGAACGAATTTTCTAGGCTGGGTTTAAAAAACAAAAAAAGGTAGGGGGCTTCCCTGCCAACTATCTAAAATCCAAAATAATATGGTACCTATAAAATTGCATTGAGCTTGAGACCCTTTAGAAGACAGTTTGGTATAATAGCTAGTTTTTGGTCAACAAATATACTAAATACAACAATACCCAAACTTAACTGAAACATTGCTAAACTCCCAAATAGATAAATAAAAATTTAATAAAAAGAAGTATTGAGTTCATGGTTAAATAAGTTAATATGATCCACAAGAGGAAAATATCAATCCAACTGATGAACCACAATGAAACTAAAATAATCCATGCTAGAACAAATTCTTCCTTCAAAGCAGGAGCCTCACCCATCATACATATGATTGCAAATTCCGCAAGCTCTATGAACCTAAAAATCTCATTGTTCCAACCCTATGAGTTTTGGAACAAAATAGGAAATATCTATTGGACCTCGGACATTCAAGACAGGCATGCTGTCAATTATGACAATGGTTGCAAATGTTGTGCTACTATCTTCAGTGTTAAATCTTTTGGTGCCCCAAACGCAGTGACATTTGCAGCAAATCAGTGACTTTCTTCAGTCTTGTCTTGTATGAATTATGAAAATACAGTGCTTCAAACTCAAAGTCTATAGCAAAACAGGGAAAATAAGATTTATCTGAAAATAGCTAATACATGTAGGTGTTGATGTATGTAGCTCTCTATCCCACAAAGATAGGGCACAGAAACAAAAGCATTTTGACATGGTGCTAATTTTTATTTCCGATCTGTTTCACGAGCCTCAAGTTCCCTGGCCTTCAGCTCTTAGAACCATGGAGACTGAAACCCTGTACAGTTAGCTAAACAATTATACTTTTATAAAGGATGGCCAAATCAGCACCTCGGGTGCTTAAGTTAAAACTGTTCTCTTCTACAATGCATAATTCACAAACTCGAGCCTGGTTTATTCTATATGAATATATGACAGCGATCGATCTGTGCAAATAAGTTGCACCCATGCAGCTAGTTCCATAGCCAATGTGTTGTTTCAGTTGTTCAAGAGCTAATATGTTAGAGAGCCTAAAGTCCAGAGACTAAGTATACTCATATATAGGCTGGAGGCCAAACAAATAGAGTACACGAGTGGATTCAAGCTCCTATAGCTATATGTACATAATAATAACGCACACATGCATACCTATGATATATCAAACACACATTTTCAACTGTGATTTTCTAAAAATTCCATAATTAAGTTCATATGTTTGCTGCATTCATAGGCTGGAGGCCAAACAAATAGAGTACACGAGTGGATTCAAGAGCTAATATGTTTGCTGTAATTCAATTTATAAAAATTCGGTTTAGATGCAAATCGATTTTTACTCTACTTATAAAATAAAGTATTAAGTTTTGTTTAAAAAATAAATGTAAATGTAAAATTTAAAACTGTGTAAAAGTGTACAATTTTGAAAAGTCAAATGGTTTAAACAAATTTCAAAACAAGTTTGACTTAAAAAGGTTTGAATTTGAGCTTCAAAATGTTCTACAAAAACAAAAAGGGAAAAAGGATAACTCTATCTCCCGCCATTCCTCTCTCTGGCCGTCCCACGAATCCTTCCCGCGCTGGGCCTCAGCCCACCTCCTCCCAGCGCTGCCCCTCTCTCTCAATCACGACGGGTGGCCCCCACTTGTCAGCCCTGCCTCCCCTCTCTCCGTGCCACTGCCAGGTGGGACCCACCTATCAGGGCCGCGTCTACTGCACCCCGCGTGCCGGACGTAGTCGCTAGTTACTTCGTCTCGCTCGCCGAGTTTGGTCTGGCCTTGATCCGCGCTCCCAGCCAGGACCCAATCGGTCGCCATTGACGGCATGGAGCTGAGCTCATGAACCGGCCTCCCCTCTCCTCTCCACGCTTATAAAAGGAAGCCCTCGACTCCGCAGCTGCTCGCTGCCGCCGCCTCTCTCCTTTCTCCCATTCCCAACGCCCCTCGCGGTTCCTCTTTGTCGAACCGAGCCCGCAACACCCCTCTCCGGCCTCGTCGAACCTCCACCGCTACCGCGTTCGCTCCTCGCAATAGTAGCCGCGACTAGCTCCTATTTCGGCGTCACGAACCCCACCAACAGGTTTGAGGGGCCTTCCTTGACCTCCTCCGCTACTCGCCGTCGACCCCAGGCCACCGGAGTGCCGAGCACTGGCGACCCGCTGCCGTCGGGTGCCCCTGCCACTCGACATAGCAACCAGAGAAGGAAGACTCCCCCTTCACTGCCCGATCCAGATAGAACGGATATGATTGGCCCTTTTGACCGTTGTCAACAGCCAGTCAATGGTGAGCCTAGCTGTCACAGGGTCGAAACCACGACAAGCATTGTTGTTCGTTGGGTGTCACTGTGTGTGAGGTCTATGGTGTCTCGGGTGGACTCAAGAACACGAAGGACTCAAAGATCACGTAGAGGACATAGAGGTTTATCCTGGTTCAGGCTATAGGGTCCTACGTCTAGCAGTTTGATGATCCTTGTATTCAAGAGCATCTAAATCGGGGTGTTACAATAGAGTGTAATAGAGAGATTTAGTAGGGGATCGCTCGGTGCTGATCCTAGGCTCATCGGTGGTGAGGTCACCTCCTTCTCGGAGAGGAGGAAGACAATGGGGAGGAGCTCTCGGTACTCCTCTCAGGTGGCTCTACCCTCGGTGTGATTCACCGCCCTCACGGATGAATCCCTCGGCAATGGGGTCGGGTGATCCGTGAAGATGAGGTCCCTCGGCTGGTCCCGTCCCTCTCAAAGTTAGTATCAAGAGGTCAGGAAATCAATTAAAGAGGATGTATGAGGAGGGGAAACTTAAGAAGACGACATGGCCTAGTTTGGGCCGCATTGGAGGATGTCCCGGCACCGGGTAGATGAAATCGAGGGGGGCACCCACATCGTTCAACGAAGGCTCCATTGCCTCCTTAATGCCTTGCGTGACCTCAGAGTGGGGGAGTGCTCCCTCGGCAAGCGCCGTTCCATCGAATGACGCCTCGGGCGTCATCGCGTAAAGCGGGTGCACGCGCATCATCAACGGCGCCACCCTCCTTGCGTGGTAGGCCACGATGATGCCTGACCCCTTCCGACCGCTCTCCTTTAGGATGTGGATGGCAATGATGTGGTCCCGGATCTTCTTCTTGTCCTTCTCTAGAATGCCCCACTTCCTCCACAACTCCGGGGCCTCTTTCGATTAGGCATTCAGTGAACTCTGGCAGAGGGGCAGCGGCGGCGTTCTTGAGGTAGAACCACTATGAATGCCACCCCTTGTTGGACGTTGACTACCACATCGGCGGGTACTCGCCACCTGGTTGTTCCAGAGTTGGATGCCGGCTCACCCCATCGGCATGTGTAGTTCCTGCATGCCGCTCTTCTCCCTCTTCCTCTAGAGGGTGATGGTGAAGAAGTACATCCACAGATCGAAGTGGGGCTGATCCCTAGGAATCCCTCGCACAGGGCAACAAATGCCGCCATGTGCTGGATCCCATTGGGATTGAGATGTTGTATCTCCATCTTGTAGTAGTGTAGCAGCCCCCGGAGAAGTTTGTGGGCAGGGGTCGTGAACCCACGCTCATGGAAGTGGGTGAATGATACTATGTAGCCATCAGGCGGCGATGGCAGATACTCCTCGCCGGGCAGTAGCCACTCCTCGACCGAGGTCCATGCGTGGAAAAGACCATGACGGACGAGGGCCTCCATGCGCTGGAAGGTGATGTCAGAATGGCACCATGGATCCATTGGAGGTGGGGACGGTTGGATGCGGGCTCAATGACAGCGGGGATGCGGAGATAGGGAACCTTAGGCGATTGGTGGCAGCGGTCGAGGCTGCAGAGGCAAGGATGTATGGTATGGAACCCAGGGGGTGAACCCTTTGGTTTTATAGGGGTGATGGGTGCGAGGAAACCAACTGCACGCCTAGATCTCCGCGTCTACCATGATCTACCACAATGTCTCACCATGGGACGTGCGCACGCAATCTCTGTTCGTTCCCTCGGAAAACTCACCGGATGTTTCGCTTCTTTGGACGGGCCACGACTCATCGCGGGTAAGAGGAATACGGATCTAAAAGAGTCTCTACGGCATGAGTGGGCCGATGAGTCCACAGGTCGGCCCATCGATGGGTTCGACAACCGCTCCAGGCACCTTTAAAGTGAGAGGTGGAAAGGGATGGGCCCGCTAGCAGCCAAACCCGAGCGCGTGAGCGCCGTGGGCATCCCGGCTCACGTTCGAGTCTCGGTCGGTTACAATCCGTGGTTTTTCCTCGAAGAAAGGCACATAGCCCTCGGGACCGGTCGAACAGACCTAAGAACTATACGGATCGACCGCTAAGAATCTAGAGTTGATCACCAAAC